TCTTTGTTCCCACATTCTTCAATAACATATGAAATAAACATGCATATATGTGACCTCTACATCCCTACGTCAATATCTATGCGCCGCAGTCTTTAGTCCGTGTGCGTTAAAATGGATATTTTTGAATTATTTATTAGGCGCTGCAAGCATTGTGTACACACAAGTGAATGTCGCGTAATTGGGTATGGTTTGAGAATGTTTAATTGCTATTTTGTCTTTATTATTCCTATTTATTGAACGAAGGAGAAGCGTTGTCTTCAACGTAAAGCGAAAGCCAAATAAAGACGCCCTTGGCTGAATTCCGAACTGCCTACATATACGGGGTAACCAGTGAACGGTTGTGCAGCGCGAGCACTCGTTTTTAGGGGCGAAGCTCTTTATAGCGGCGCCCGTTCGTCCCTTGTAGCTGTTGTAGTATGTAACAAGTGTAACATTTCAACCTCCATGCTGGTGCCTGTGAGAGATTTCTTATGTGCGTTGTTGAACAATCAAAAATAGTGCTCAATGTACATGCCCATGGCTGCTAATGGGGAATAAGATACAGGAGCACTCGGATTTTAGTTAACGCGCACGCTGCGATCCCCATTAGCAGCCATTGGCATGTACATTGAGCACTATCTGACAAGAAAGGGTTGCTACACGTTATACTCGCTGTGTGTTACTTCCTTAGTTTTAGGAAGGTTTAGCGAGCGTTGAGCCGCAGTGCCATGAATACAATGAACTAGTATATACTATGGATGAACTCGAGGTGGTTAAAGGTGGGAAGTAGACACGAAGCGCAAGCCGTAAGAAAGTGGGCGTGTGCCACCTCTCGTTTAGTCCTTGGAATGTCCACTGGATGGTGGTGCTTCTATATGGGGAATATTTGATGAAAAAATGCGAGATGGTGGTATACTTGGAGTGTTGAATGGATGGACGAACGGATACACAGACAGATAGATGCATGGATGGACGCATGAAGGGACGCAGAGGCGGATGCATGGACGAACGCAGGGACGGACGCACGAACGCGCGGATGGACGGATGGAAGGTCACAGAGACGGACGCATGGGCGGATGGAAGCAAGGGCGAATGAACGGACGAATGGTTCGCCCCACTCTCCATCATTCACTCCGTGGATATGCTGGCAATTTTTTTAATAGCAGACGCTGCCTGCGTCGGCCTTGCGAGGCAAGAGAGGGGGAGGGGAGCGACAGTTTTCTGGGCGTTTTCTTGGGCCTGCACGAGAGGCGAGCATGCGCAGTGGGCGTGTGGACGGTGCCGACGCCAAAGCGCGACATTGTGCAACTAAGAAATGCTCCACATTTATAAACAGTGCTTAAATTTAGCTGTCAAACTCCAACAGACATTGAATGAGGTCTATTATAACAATGTAAAGTACGCACTCAGCTATTTCTGTGAGGATACGTTTTACTTTCGTGTTATACCGATTGCTAAGGCGGAAGAATAAAATATCTTTCTTGTTCTTGCAGCTAAACTACGATCCTATATGCATGCGCAGGGTGCTGCTTCAGGGAGGGTACATGGCGAAGGTACAGCACCCCCCTCCCTATTAAGTCAGAGCATGGGGCTGACTTTGTGCCCCCCTTGTCGCCCCTCACGTTTGTTCTTCCTTGTGCATGCCTATGACTATGATGCGCTCTTACCATATATTGCCATAAATTAGTATGTGACTGAATATAGTACCTCGTTTCCTGGTTTTTTAGCTAAGATGACGGAGTAAAGTGGCGTCTCTTTACAGTTGTCGTTGCATTATCGTATTATCGTTATATTTGCCGTGTCTAAAGATACTCGGCCTTACATTTGATACGCGCAGAGAGATGCTGAGTTCGAGCAGCGGCGACGTCTGTGCATTGGCCTCTTCTTCCCGACAGTGCCTGAAGAAAACCTGGAGGAACACCTGTGCCGGTTCACGAGAATGGACGACATCGACGACGTGCAAAAGCTACGCAACGTGAGAGTTTATCGACAAGCAGCCACTTACTTCCGGAGAAGCAAAGGCTGCAAAAAGCCATCATTTTTATAGCGTAAATGCGAAAGGATACCCTGAATAAAAAAGAACACAGAGTCTACTGTCGTTTCGGCACCAGTTACGAGAGCCTTGTTCGGAAATCCGGTGTGGGAAAAATGCTCCCGTATGCGGTGCGGAAATGTAAGTTTGTGTTGTGTTCTTTTTTATTGCGAAGCAGCTCTTCGAGTAGCCTGTGTAAAGCTGTCCCTCCGTCCTTCGCAGTGCGCGCGCGTTGACACCACTCTCTCCCTAGCCTGTCGCCCCTCGCCGCGTGTCATTTCGCTCCCTTCATCGTCTCCACCGCTCGCAACAGTCGAGCGCACATAGAGTGAAACACTCTTTCAGCTCGTTTATCTGCCATGAAACTTACACGAAACCCAACCCACATCCCGTGTCTTTGCGTGTCAAAGGAACGTTTACTCAAGTAAAAGCTAGACCGAGTTTCGCTTTAAACTGTTCTTCCAGCCCCCGCATTGACGCCTGTTTCGGCCGGGTCCACGGCGTGCGCACCACTGCTGCTTCGCTCCCCAATATGGTTCCCTTCGGGAAAATGGCCCATATTTTTTGTCGCAGCCTTCTATCGTGTTTACCCTATGAATTTCCCTGGCCAGACGGAGTGTTTTCAAACTTATGATTTCAGGCATAATTTTTGACTAAATACGGAGATTTGCGAGCAATGCGCTTTGCTTCTAGCTGACAAAATGACGCTGCCAATTTCTGCCAACAACGACTGTTAAATATGTTAGTGTTTACAAACGTGTGCTAAAACTGTCGTCGTCATGAAAGGTCACGTGCCAAAAGTATTCCATAAATCTCGCTTGTCATCGCTGGTTCAATAAAGTTAAAAAAAGGCAGCTGACTGGCGGCAAACACCGATTAGGATTCCTATACAAACGCAACTAGTAACTGAGAAAAACTTTGAAAAACCCACACAATTAACGCAGGGATAAACACCCAAGGCCGCTCGTGTCAGCTTTGTTGAAGCTTTTGTTCGGAGTGCGTCAACGGCACGCACAACGAGAGAATACTGCAGGAACAGAGAAAGACAACGGTGGCCCTGACGGGACCACAAAATGGTAGAAACCCCACGCGAACGACGACGCGCCCTTGGCCTTACGGGAGATGCGAACACTCAGTTTCAGCACCAGTTTCTTTTCCTGGAGTTTAGGCATCCGTATTGTGTCTGTGACTGCCCTTGGTTTAGTGAAATCTCGCTGCGCTAAAAGCAACCCTAAAACAACCCATAGCTTTGGCCAAAAGGTAAGCATAATCTCAAAGCCACCAGATCAGACTGCAGAATCTCCAAACTTCGCAGTTTCAAGCCTTCTGTGACTTTGCATGCGAGCTTCGTCATTCGTTTTTCATCAGCGGAGCTTGGTTCACCATAGTGTGAATTAGCTTGATGCGTCAATGTTAGAAAGTTTATTTAATGAATGAAGGTAAGTGCTGTTTACCTCCAATCAGATGCGTTTAAACTGAAATTTACGGTCATCATACGTGAGGTACTCACGGTAGTACTGAACACTTGTTGACTGACTAGATTTGTTATAATTATCATCACTAAATAATATTATAAATTATTATCGTCAATATGGTGCAGATAACAGCTTGCATCAAGAAAGGTCACGAGAATTTTGGGAAGGTGAGTACTTCTTGCTCATTATGCACTAAGAAATTATTGCTGTAAAATGGTATTGAGCCTATCACATTTGAAAAATAACTACTGAATTTTCGATTGAGTGATTTCTGCGCTGTTAGCTCCCATAAAATCTTAACTGAAGAGTCCTTACCCTTAGAACATTGAAGGAACTGCTGATCACTGAACGACATTTTATCCTGCAGCTAGGCAGTTTGATCCACTCGTTTCACCACCCTTTTAGGCTAGTAACAAGCGAAAAAACTGTCAAAATCATGAAATCGTTTTAAGCTTGCAGTTTCAGCTTTCATTAATGGGACTGCAAGTTAGAAATAGATGATAAAACGCACATAATTAAAATATAAAAACCAGGTCATTCAGTCTCATTTATTTTGGCAAATGATCACTTGTACACAGACTATGTGCATGATTGGAAAGCTTTTGCTCTAATCGCTAGAATTAACTGCTTATTCTGTCATTCCAGCGACGCAGGTGGCACCACGCGGCTTTTCTCCGAACCTGGCATACGGCGATAAGACCGCGACGCAGTTCGGTCTCGCGGTATTGATAAGCGCTGATACGTTTTCATTCAAGCGTTTATGTGTCTCTTTAGCAAAAGAAAGAGTTTGCTGCCTGAGACGCGCACCTCAGCACCGTCTTGTCCGCCATTTTGAGTTACCCTCGCGCCACCTATAGTCACTGGAATAGTGTAGTCTGATCCCCTCTAACGGCGAAGCGTGTGCTTACCAAGACGTGTGGTAAAATCGCCCAGGTATACACACGTAAAATGCCGCACGAGGAGAATAAATAATGGCTACCTATACAGTGTTTCTCGATGGGGGAAAAGAGACCCGTCACGGTCCGGCAACATCTATTTGATAATATTAGCGTTGTAACAATGCTAGTCTTATTTCTAGCGTATGTAGCAATCGCCGAACGAGGTTATACCTAACACTGCACTGCACATGAGTAATTTCGAAGTCACGCTTTTTGTCATACCTCTTTTAACAAACTGCTCAGTGAGACGGGACAAAAACAAGGAGGATATTGTCGAGTGACAACACAAATTCAATTTATTGGGCATGCGTAGAAATCTTGAATGAATAACCTGTCTATGTGTCCTGTCCTGATTCCCAAGTTTTGAGAAGACGCTTCCGCACTAACCTGCCCTATTTTAAACGCTCAATGTCCTTCCTGCACGAATTTCCTCGCAGGATGACCGCCAGGTGCTGGAGCTGCGGGCGTCGCGAATCGAGTGCATGCAAAAGTTCTTCGACGATGCCCCTCGTGGCATCCGGGACAGAAAGTACGCGAACCTTGGTGAAGAGAGTGCGCGCGCTCGCTGACGACGTCATGGACACCAACCGCCAGGCGAGTGCTGCCTACCTTGTCGTCCTAGAATGAAGAACCTGACTGCATGATAACCACAGCGTCTCCGTAGGGGCCGAACGGCAAATTTAAGGGGGGGGGGAGAGGAGTACGGAGGAAAAATGTACAAGACTGAAAAAAGAAAAACGTGTTCATATCTGGCACTTATTTCACAAGGTTGCAATTCACAAACATAGGTCACATGCAACACGCTATCTAAGGTCAAAACTTCCATGCCGGCCTTCTGATAACAACTGACAATTGGAGGGGATGTATTTACGTCCTACCTGGGCCTGCATAGTACGAGACCCCACGGGCCACAGGCAGCCCACGTGTCGCGGATGGCCGACCACTGCTGTAAACCAATCTAAGTGATAGCGAGGAGGTAAACTTGGCGGTTATCGAATATTACGCAAAGTAAACTCGACCATTTTGCCAGACGGTAATAATTCATTGTCGCACGACCAAATGGGAAGAGAAGGGTGAGAAGTTTTCAGCTTTTTCTGCAATGACACGACAGCTATGATAGACACTGCGGCAAACAACGTCTGTATAAAATAAAACAGCTCTCTTACGAAGGGCTGTTTTTTTCTTTCTCGTTCCAGATCATAGTCTGCATGCGACATTATGATGCTCCGGAGGAGGTGAGTTTCGTTTTTTCGTTAAATCTGGCTAACGACATTACGCACCTGACGCTGTTATACTACAAGACAGTTCTCGAAATTTCATAGTGAACGAGATGAAAAATATGAGAACTACATTTTAAACTCTGAATGACAGAAGCATTGGACGAATGCGAGTGAGGGTAGGGCAGTTATTGCCAAATTTTTTTAGTTAGAACACTCTAAAAAATGTTGTTGCGATGGAGAGCCTATACACTATGATACATCTAAAAAGAATGTTGTAGAATTCCTCGCTCAATGAACCTTTGTCACTATCTCAGAATTACGGTAACATCGCAAGCACTTTACGACAAGTTCACCGGTTTGAAGCTTGATGTGGCTGCCTCATTTCGATGGTGCTGATAACATCACTGCGCTTGTGGCATGTATTGCATACACACTGCCGAGATACAGACAACTAGGACTGTTCTGGAGTTTCTGCTCGGTGGCCTCATCAAATTTCGACTTCAGCATGTAAGACACCATGGTTTCAATAGGGGCAGCGGTTGATGTTAGGCATGCTACTCAAACAACAGCGGAAAAAAGAGAATGGTAAGCTGTGTCTTCGCTTTCTTCTTCCCGTTTTTCGCGTTGTCCTTAAAGAACTATACATTTCAACCACCTCACCCACTCTGCCATGCTCGATCATTGTTAGAAAAAGAAAGATGGCACTATCACTATGAAATAGGAGACGCAGTACATTTCCGTACACTCTTCATCCTCCTCCTTCGCTATGTTATCTTCAGGAACTGCACGAGAGGAGCAAGGCGAGAGATTTCTGCATGAAGCGGCTGCTGCCGGACGTTCCGCAAGAGAGGCTGGAGTCTGTCTTCCTGGACAGCTTGAAGAACAGGAATGCCTACATGGACGACGCGGTCAGTCCTGGCTCTCTAACAAGGATTTTTAAGAAGACAGCCTGTAAGGTCTCATACTCGCGGTGACCATTCGTCCGTTCGTGCCCTAGAACGGTACCAAGTGTGGCTTCGCCTCCTCGCAATCTCTCAGCAGTGACGTGAATGCCAAGAGAAGGTAAAAAAAAACAAGGCATAGCCAGTCGATGGCCTCAGGCTTCCGCCAAACACACTTTAAAATTCACAGAGTGTACTTGAATTCTTTTCCGAACGTTGCTATTTCTGCAGCGAAACGGAGTCTTGAGAAGAATCGCAACACCAATGTAAACATGCGGTACATGCGTCGTCTGTCGTTTTCACTGCACTTCTCAGGTGATCTTGTGGTAGGCGCCGGTCAGCGGCTCGCAGCAGCCGTACGAGGACATATTCGTGCATATCAGGAGCCTTATGATGCTTAATAGCGTGCGTTAGTAGTGTGATTCTCACTTCGGCAATGAATACGCTGGTGGACTTGATAAATCCATTAGCACGTTTACTGCTTATCTCTGGGAGAAGGAACAGGCCACCGGCGTGTTCACGTCCTAAATATTGTTAAGAAATGTGTTTCCAATGCATCAAATCGAAACCGGTTTACTCTGCAGAGGGTCCGCTTGCTTAACATTGCAGTGGTTCGGTACTCTGAAGGAAACATAATGTGTGAGCGAAAGTGCGAACGAGCATAAGTGAATGAATGAATCTAGCAAGGGATCCCAGTGACAGAACCAGTGCATTGCAGTAACTTTTCAACCGCCACAGTGGTCTAGTCGTTATCGTGCTTGACTGTTGACCTGAAGGTTACGGTCTCGAATTTCGGCCACGGCAGCCACATTTTTAATAGAGGTTAAAGTGCTTGAGTCCCGTGTACTTGTACTTAAGAACACCTTAAAACATTTCAGGTGTTTCTGGAGGCTTCCACTACGGCGGGCCTCATAACGCTATCGTAGTTTTGGGACGTCGAAACGCATTAGTTATTACCGTAAGTGCCGCAGAAAGGCTGGCTACGCATCGAAATAAACCTCCTGTACGAAAACCCCACGAAGAAGAGTTTTTTCATTCTTCTTCTGCTAACTTAAATGCTCCAACGAAAGGTCACGCGCATAATCAACCTATACCAGTTGTTCCGATTATATTGAAATCAAGAGTGAGGTAATTTGTAAAGTACTTTGACAGAGGGTATTCGTCTCAATTTCAGCGTCGTCCTCTCTCTTGTATTGCCACAATACGGTAGCTTTTTGACGGTAATGCAAGCAACGTTTTTCCCCTTGCAGCTTCAACTATGCACCTTCATGGAAACTCCTACAGGTAAAGTGAGTATACCTCTTCAATTTTCTTCCTAAAGGGACGCTGAGGTCAAAGAACAATTTACGTCAGAGTGAAAGCTCAAAGTATGACAACATCTAAAACGACAATATTATCAACAGCACCCTACTTACGGAGAAAATAAGGTAAATGCACAAGAACACCGCCACAGAAGGACATTTTCAAAATGATCCCGATGACATCAGACGGACCACCTACAATTACTCACTAGTAATCGATCTAACAGCACTAAATAAAGAACCTTCCGGGCATTAAGAGACGCGATAAAATGCTGCTTGTTCATTTCTGTTTGATTCATAGGAAAAAGAACCGCCAGACTTTACTATGGGGAATGGCTCGAGTGGTTCAAAAATTCAATTTTCGTGTGGTTACACGAGACAGGTGGTGTTATCTAGCAGAGCGCAGTTGAAAGAAAAGTGTCTGCACTCTCGAAGCCAATGGCGGGAAATGGATGAATGGCCGTTGTTGCTGCTGTAGCTCCTGCTGCTTTCAGTCTGCAGCTACTAGCGCAGTAAAGCCGGGCAACGCTGTGCATAGCAACAGTGACGTGAGTCAGTCCGGTCGGTCCGCTTCTTCAGGCGGGTAATTTGAAGTGCGCTAACCCGACGCGGAGCACTAATATGTGATTTTATTTCAAAATATGTCCTTTTTTGGCACAAAAGTAACACTAAGAGGTTTCCGGACTGCCATTTCAACAATCAACGTCGACTTAATAGTTGACTTTAGCGTACCTTAAAAAAATGTTGCAAGAGTATGTAATTGCGGCAACGTTTTCGCGTCATATTAACTTTAAAAAAGATTGTTTCATTGAGTTGGTAGACCCCCACCGACTTTCCTTGAAACGTCCAGTTGTTAAGATTTCTGTTGTACCAAAACGTATACGGTAAGGAAGCTTCGGCTACTGAAAAAGCACAAATATAAGCACCGTCCCAAACTCTGCCCTCCCGCCTCTGTGGTATGTCTACGCCAACGGTCGCATTTACGGCAACCCTAGACTAATTAACTAGAGTTGCATTTTCGGCTGCGACCAGAAGTATTTGGAGAAGAGGTGGAATATAGATGCCTTGATTACGATGATAATCATGAAACAACGACAGTTTCCTTTTATCAGCACCAATAATAGAACAAGTAAGTAGGTTTAATCAAGCTTCCTTTTGTGCATATTTTTTTCAGCCGTATATTGTTATTTAGCATCACCATTGAGCAGCCGATGATTCCTGGTGTAAGTATGAGTGTGTGAAGGCCAGCGAAGTTTGTTATGTCACGAGGTAATTAGGTTCATCAACGCACTGGCATTTCCTTTGCCTGAAAAACACGTCTGCCTCTCGTACGGAGGAGCTATTTCTCTCAGATTCTATACGCGGTAGCATTAATTAGCACTCACTCGAAACAACATCATGAATGGCACGACCAAATTTCGAAATCATGAATTGGGTGAATGTCTGAGGCCAAGCTATTTTTTCGCGTTTTATTGAGCCGGCGCCATGCAGATGAAGCGAGGTGCATTGGCTCTGTGGCACGGGACTGCTCCGGAAATGCTGTGCGTTACTGATGCTGCATAACAGTGCTGTTGTCGGAATTACCGCGGTTGTTCCGTTGTGCAGTTGTCACAAAATTCTCTATCGTGACTCGCAGTGGGCCAAGGAAGAGCTGATAATATACTACAAGTGCGTCAGAGAAATGCTGCATCACGTGCCAAGTGCTGTTCGCGCTTCCATGTCTTTCCGTCTAGGACTAGATGTGCAGGAAGAAAACATCGACAAGGTTGGTTGCCAAAAAAGGCTTTCCTCGTGGTAATCATTGAATACTTGAGTAACAGCCATGGTGTACGTGATATGCCCTTACCGTTAGGATAACCACCATATGATTTTGAGAGACACCGCATTGAAGGGCTCCAAAAATTACGAAGAAATGTACAAAGAATAAATACGTTTGTACCAACAACACCTTCTGTTTTTTTCCTCGCGTAGTAAGAGAATGAAATGCGCTTGATTCAGTCACTGCAGCACAGCCAACACTTCGAAAATTTCTAGAAAGCATTGAAAACCACGCGTTGGTGTCCTCAAGTTCTGGTTAAACGACTAGAGTACGGGTTCCCACTCTGTTTTATTTTCTTGAATCTCTTGGATTTGTTGACCACGTATTGGTATATATATATGTTTGTATGTCATGTACAGCGGAAATCCCATGATATAGATACTTGACGTAAAGATGTTACTTCTGCGTGCGTTTAATTTTTGGATATCTTGTCGTTGCATTATCTTGCTTGTACAATGTTTCTATTTTCTACTTCTGTAATAACCATCATGGAGGGTACACAGTATTCTGTAAATGAATAAATATTAAACAAATCAATATTGTTGTGTAGGACGAGCGCCAGCCGATGCTGGTTATCCTTTGAAGGGGTGGTTTGAGAATGTCTGAAAATGCTCGTTGCGACGACTGTCGTAACATCAGGCCCTGCGGCAGATCTTATGTGAACGACTTGTAGATAATGTGACGAGACAATCGGCTCGGAACTGCTGTAGTTCACCATGACCATAAACATATGTCAGAGCAAGTCATTCCATAAACATGCGAAGGTATACGTGGTCTTGTAATTATAGTGCTCCACAGCTGACCGAAAGGTCGCGGAATCCAATCCAGGCCACGGTGGCCGCACTTTCAATGGAGACAAAATGCTTAAGGTCTGCGGGCTCAGAATTAGGCGCACATTCAATAACCCTCGTTAATGGAAATTACCGGAGTGAAATCAACAGCATCTTTCAATTGATGGATATGTGGGGTGTCCCAAAAACCTCATATGATATTGACAGACTTCGCAGTGAAGGGTTCCGGAAACTTCGACCCCCTGAAGTTCTTTAACGTGCACTCAAATCTGAGCACATGGGCTTACAGCCATTTAGTCTTGATCCACGGCATCTTTCGTAATCATATCTTACTTTTGGGACGATAAACCTCAACAATATTAACCACTCTAACATAAGTCGTCCTTAGAAGTCATCGCTGCAGCTGTGGGCGACAATTACATTGTTGATCTTAAAGACAACAAGTTTGCACAAGTTGCTGTATGAAAATAACCCCCTCCCCCCAAAATTATTTTGAGTGTGCGCCTGACCTTGATGCTAGACAGCTCAGCCAACGTCAGTTTCTTCGTCTTACTCTTAACATGTCTGTCATCATAGCAACAGACATACGCAGTGCTGGCTTGTTCTCCGTCTTCATGCACTCCTCTTCGTTGGTCAGCGAGAGCCCCCGAGCCGGCGGGCGCACGCGGCCCTCGAGATCGCCTTCTATCATGCGACAACCGCGCCGGTCATACGAAGAGAAAAATGAGCAGCGTGCCGCTGCTTGCATGCGGGAAACCGCCAGCGCCATGCTTTCCACGGTAGTTGTTTGTACGCTCTAAAACGTTGGTTTAACTCCATTGAGCCGGGGAAATTTCAAAAGCCAGCCTTCATTTGTGGTGTATCACTGGGCTTACTCTCCTGTGCTTGTTCATCTATAAATTTTAATGTTGCAATAATGATGTCCTAAAGCAGAAAGCTTCGTTATCGTCACGGACGTGGTTGTACGAACAAGTATGTCTTATTCTGAAATTATAGCAAATAGATTTACATTGTCAGTGAATGAAGAAAAACACAATTATAACATGCTATTTAAAATATTTCTATCACGACACCACCATCGGCGGGAAGGGTAGGCGAGTTTCGTTCTCGAAAGTTAGTGCCTGCCTCCGTTTGCCATTTACTCCAGCGTCCTTGTTTTGAGCAAAGCTCTGCTTTAAGTCTCTCGAAGATCCGATTGCAGTGCAAGTGCGACACCTATAAATCTCAAGTACCTTAACTAAAACGCGTTGATAACATTTTTCAGATACTACGCTGTGAAGCCAAAGGAGGAACCCATGTATTGGTAAGTAACCAACGTAAATATAGTCTCATTCACACGAATGTGTGCCACTTCAAATAACTAAGCGCTTCGAAAACACTTAAACGCACTCTAAAAAAATATCGAGTAAAAAGGGTGTCTTTTTGTCCCACAACAATAATCGTCATCAGGCTTGCGTGTGCTTCTTTTCTTGAAAACTCGGCGCTGGCCACTTTCCTATCGAGAATGCAATGTTACGCTGATAATGGGCATGTCGATCATGACCGGAATGTACCGGGCGCGGGGTGATAGCGCAAAAATGGAACGCAATATAGATGACGATTCTTGTTGTGGGACAAGAAGACGCCTTTTTTACACGCTCTTTCTTTAGAGTGCGGATGCTGTGTCTACTGTTTTGCAGCTGAACTCTAGCCCCCTTGTTTGTGTGTTTTTCGTTATAATTACTGATCTCCTTCCTCTTCAGCCAAGTCTCCAACCTCGGCGCATAACCTTCACGCATTTTCTCTTTTAAGAGCCTCTCGTTCTGGCAAACTGTTGCAATGCTAGAGATAATACTTTATCAGTGCAGTTATCACTGGCGTAGATGATATTAGCTATAAGCTTTAGTGAGATCCCGGGACACTTTCTATGATCACAATGTGTCTGATGGTTTTCGCACAATGTGTCTGACAATTTTTTGTGGTGTGGCGCCAATATCTTTGTCGAGATGAACAGGAATATCTAAACAAAAGTTTTACACTGACACTACTGTAGAACATTATGAGTCTCTCTAAGTAGTTAGGCCGTGTATACGTTGTAGTTAATTCTCCACTGCCAGGGGTCGGTAGCAAGGTTGTAGCTGCGATATGCTAATTTATAGTGACAAGGTGAATGTTAATTCATTTGTAGTTTAAGGAGAAACTTAAGCAGTGGGTTTTAATAATAATAATAATAATAATAATAATAATAATAATAATAATAATAATAATAATAATAATAATAATAATAATAATAATAATAATAATAATAATAATAATAATAATAATATAATGATAATGCTCGCTATAAATTTGATCACGGCCAATTCAGGACAAACGTCTCTCCCATGCTTCACTTAAAAACTCAGTCATGTTCCTGCTGCAGCATTCGTAATTTAACTTCATGTTTTGATGGAATTTTTGAATCCAAATTCATTCAAGCTTCTTGATCACAAGCTTCCTAATCCTGTCAGCCCGGCTAATTTTTCGCCTCCGACTCACGCATTAATAGGCAGGCTGAAGGAGCCATAGTAACCTACGATTTACTGATGCCATTGATAAGCATGATCAATGAATTAGGCAGTGAATGCGGAAACGTAGGTTCAAGATTGAATATATACGCAGAAAACTAAAGAGATATTGAACAGTATCAGAAGCTAACAACTCAGCGATAGGCAGCGAGGCTCTAGAACTTGTGAACAAATACGACTGCTTAAAGCAGGTAGTGACCGTGGATCTGAACAATGCTAATGAACTAACTACAAGAATAAAAAAGGGGTAGAGCTTGTTTGATTAGTATTCTCAATTTGTGTAACGTGCTTTATTTCTTCTCTCAAGAGGGAAGTATATAACAGCTCCGTTTTCCCCTTACCTGCTGGGCAGAACCTATAGACCAACGCCGACTAAATTACAAGGCCGAAAGGCTGCCGCAGTGACGTCAGAGGGTGGGGGTCCAGTTACGCCGCGAACGCAGCGGAAAGCCTGTGTTTCGTTCATGTTTTAGGAGAACGAACGCTCCCACTCTCGCAGCTGCTACGGCTAGATTGGGCCGAATAAAAGATGTGGAAAAAAAAAGTCTTACTGAGCATGCTCAGTTGGGCAACTGGGCCCCCAACCTCTGACGTCACTGCGGCAGCCTTTCGGCCTTGAAATTTAGTCGGCGTTGCTTTAGACCCAGTAGGTAAGTAAGGGAAAGGTTCAGCTTTAATTGAGGACAGCACAGCAAGCTATTAAAAGAAAAAAAATAATAGAAGTAACCTTAACAAACAAGCGAGAAGAGTGAGTCAAGGATTAAATGCGTGTTGGATTAAATGCAAGAGGTTCAAGAGCTTGCTTTAGGCCGAGTGGCAAACGATAATCATATTTACGGACAATCATTTTGTAGTCACAAAAGAAAAGCTTATCGCTTGTTTTGCTAGCACTAATTGCTTGCAAAACAATATAATTTAACACCATCCTTATTCACGCACTCATGCCGTGTTTGCGTTTCAGTTTGAAGGCCTCCAGCGGCCCGGATTCCTGCGCTGCCTTTCCGGACGCCGAGAGCGTCCTCACATGACCGAGATGTACGATACGTCGACTGTGTACGACAATCCTGATCCCAACGAGAAGGTGGGTACTAGGGTAGCATAAGGTCATTACGAAGTAACTACCGCAGAGACGCTTATGTACGAAAAAAAAGCTGCAGCAGTATTCTTTTAATGCGTTCGTATTAGTAAAGACACTTGAAAAGATCTTCGCCATTGCCATTGTGTTCCTCATGCACTGTAGGTGTCACTATCCAAGGTGAACCTTATGTCATTGATATTTTTTTGCTGGCGTCATTCTCCCACAAAATCATTCTTGGATAGGACTTTCCTTCGCGCCATCGGACTATCATAGATTGCTCACGTGCAGAACTTGCCCTTACACCGCTGCCAACTTCTCGTTTGGTAGATTCCCTTCCCGAATCTTGCAAGCTTGTCGTCCCTGCAGACACGGAAATAGCACCGAACAAAACCACCCTTGTAGCCCTGACCTGTACGGCCGCTTCTGCCGGAACTGTTTTGTTTTCTCCGTCGGACGTATTTCAGCACTGCCGTAGCCTACACCTGCCCTTTGCCGTATCATCGTTGAATCCTGTGCTACCGGCATGCTTATTGCGAATTCGCTGTCGTCGCAAGACACCTTGCAGAAAATGTTTGGGCAGCATGCAGTACGTTCTTCGGCCTTCCAGTTTGTCTGTACGTAAATAAATCACGTGACGCTCATATAAATTGTGAGTGATAAGGTATTATTCGGATGAGATATAGGGAAAGAGCGTTAGGAGAAACGTGATAGTTTGCTGCGCACTTTCTGATGACGCAAACAAGGAAAGCCATAAGTTGAAGAAGAAATAGATCTGGAGCAGATCAGCAGTCATATTCCTCTTCCAGCTTGCTGGACAATGTAATCGGTGATATCTCTATGCGTGTTTGAGCCTATAAAAGTGGCACGCGCCTTCTACCTTGCAAATTATCTGCTTGGTGTGAAGAACTCAGTGAGACAAGGAGACCGATGGCCACCTTACGTCGCATTATTGTGCTTATATAGTTTTGAACGTAACTTTACATTAGTTTTGCACGTTCGTTAAAGGAAAACACACCGTGCAGTGTTTGATTATCTGTGCGTACCTTGTTAACAACTACTGCGTTTACAGCGATTGTGTTGATGAAGCCTAACTGATACATACCCGTGTACTTAAGCTAAGGGACAGGCTAAAAAACTCCAGGTCTTCTAATTTGCGCAACCTTCAACGACGTTGTCTCTCAGAATTATAGCGCGATTTAGGGATATACAATCCTTGCAATGATTGTAATACAGTGAGTGTTAGCCATTTGCAATGAAGCCGTTAATGTTTACAGTGCTCACCCGACTGCTTACTTGGTGATTTAGTTGGAAAGTGAAGGGCTATTAAAATACACGCGGCAGGAAAAACAGCTCAGCATTTTCGTTTTGCTGTCGAATACATTGCTAACACCATTAGTGCTCCGCGATTCACACGAAAATAAGACTTTGTAGCTTCCCTACTTTTTAAAACCTGGATGCTCTCCAGGAAAAGAATACGCTCAAATGTTTTGGCAGCAGTACGTAACAATGATCTGGCCGCTCGAGCTACACGCATGGGGAAATTTTCAGAATACTCCGCTCCCAATTCTTTTTGTTCTATTGTTCAGCACCGAAAAAATGATGGCTGGGCGAATTGTCTTACCTATTTCAACTGTGGCAGTATACGTTTTATCAAGTTCGGTCTGGAACTCTATCCGAGAAATGAAAGCTTGATCCCTCTAACACATTTATTTAAAGTCTTCAGAGCAGGTCCTATAAGCTACTATCTTTCTTGTATATATGCGAACTTGATGCCCATAAAAGACTGGCCTTATTATAGATAACCTAGTCTTCTACATTGTCCTACATTGGTCGAATAATAAAAGTAGGAAAAACTACCTGCACGAAATGAGTTGCCCACTATTATTGCGGAAACACTCCGTCAAATAAATATTGTCCAACCACAGCATTCAGTATGATATCAAAAGTCAAACACATCATTTCGAGAGCGCTTAAGGCAATCACGTCCGCTTTTTCGGCTGATGATCAATCGGACAGTACCTGCTTACGATTACTCATGCCAGGCTTGTACAGTTAGCCAACATATTTCACGATGAAACGCATAACGAACACAGTTTTGAGGTTTTGAAGACTATACAGCTACACATTTTCATCTTATAACAATGTTCGAACACTGATGCGAATTGAAAGCATGCACCTTCAGTCAAACTTTCAAAAATTAGGTTTCTCGGTTGTTTGTTTCTCAGAAACATTTCTTAGCGCCCACAATTTGAATAAATTTTCTTGTCAGGTGTGCCTGAAGAGTAAGTGCATTCACATATCTGTTTGACAATATTACATAACAGTTGCTTGTGTCGTCATCTTCACATTGTGTGCTTGTCACATGAATCTACTATATATAAAGATGAAAAACATAATTAACTATTTCCGTATTCATTATTTCAGCTGAAGTTGTGCGTCATGCATAAACGAGCCTCGAGTGAGGTGAGTGTTTATGTAAAACTCATAAGTCTTCCTTCACATTTTCTTTCGGATCACTATAATTCGGTCGTTTTAGATTTACACGCCTTATTAGCGCATACACACCTTTGCAGCTTCGGAAGCAGCACTGTGTCTGCTCTTTTTCTTCCTGTATCATGTAGCGTACGGAAATAAAAAGGCTGAGTTGACGTTAGCCATGCAACGCAAAATACGAACCCACTGGTATATTTCGGAAATGGTGATGGGATTGCCCATGGTGATGGGATCGCTCACGTAACAGTGCAAACATAAAAAAAATAGAGTAGGCGACTTTAACACTTAGCATAACCACGCAGATTAACTTGGCGGGAAGACGATGGGACAACCTTCAGCACGCACATTCAGGCACCCGAATATTGTTGACTTGGGGACACTTAGGTTGCAGCTAGGCACTGCTCATCAAGGCGACCTTGTAGAAGCGCGTTTTTATATTAAAGAAAAGCTAGAGTTGGCGGCACGGTGAAATTCCCAGACTGTGCTGTGAAGGTTTCCACCGGCTGACTTGATGGAGACTCGTAGAGTTATGAGAATAGTTCGAAGCTAAACAGTAGCGAGACCCAAATGGGAAAGGAAGCAGTTTACATTGAGACAATATCTCGTGCCGTGGTTTCTGCTTCTCTTATGCAAGAGTCTCGGTCATTTGATATATGCTTGTTGTATCAATTTCTGCCCAAGAACGACGACCAGAAGGACAACGCTTTCATATCTGTTAAGGCCACCGTGATGATTCTACAACAATATGTAGAAAACTACTGAAGGTACACCTCTAAAAGCTCTGCAGCATGTGAAGCACTGGTTAGTCAAAAATAAAAAAAAAAGAAAACAGAAAAACCAATTCAAATATCGGGGTTTAACATTAAAAAAATACACAGTAAGCTTTGAAAAGCGTCTTGACCTCTGGCTCGAAAACAATTTGAACATTTTTTGTACCACGGCCCGAAGAAACGTTTCCTTGCGTGCCAGCTGGTAACATTTCAGCAAGTTGTCAGACCTGCAGTTTCATGCTCAGTAAACAATAGCTGTGCAGCTGCGGAGATGGGTTTAAAAAATAAATCAAGCAAACGTAAATGTGATACGTATTCAGCTTACTCTGTAATCCGATGCTGTCTGACAAATCATTTCATCATGATTTTAAATGCAGTGACTCGCCACGGTGGTCTATAGTGGTTATGCTGCTGGATTTCTGACCCGCAAGTCACGAGATCGAATCCCAGCTGCGGCGGCCGCATTTGCGAAGGAAGCGCATTTGCTCGAGGCCCGTGTAGTTAGCCTCAGATGCATATTAAGGAATATATCGCCACTACATTCCCACATCCCTCCATTACGGCATCTCTCATTATGATATCAACATTCCGGAAAGTTAAACCCCAAAAGCCGTAATTATTTTACGTACAGCAAGAAAAGTTAGGCACTTATGTAATTTGTGTTTATAGTTATTTGTGCTTCTGGGCAATAATACATTTGTCAATTGTTGCTGCTCCGTAGTCAACAGCCTAACAACTGATTAACGATACACGTCGTATATATATTAGTGTGGATTTACTATGGTTTATTTTGAAATTGTGAGGCTGAAATAAATTACTTTCTGCCACAGACGTTTTGTAGAAAACATTTCTTTCATGCTCTTGCGTTTGTTTTCATGCGTGTTTTGATCACTTTGCAGGTGTTTATGGAATACAGACAGTACCAAACTATGGTAGAAAAGGAACAGAAGAGGCTGGAGGTACGGCGGCGCTGTCCTTTTTCAACTAATTTATTTGAAGAGAAATCATTACATCATTGTGCTAAATTGCAATGTACGACACCATATTCGTATATCATGCATGGTCTGCACGGCGTTAACCACGGTGAGGTTTGTTTTACTAACAAATAGTGCCTTACTTCCCTGTGGCGGGAAGTGAAGTCATGGTCTTGGTTCCATTGGTGAAAGACGCATTGGCAAAATTAAACACGTAAGTAGAAGAAAGCACAGAAGGAGAAATGCTATGTCTTTTTTTTTTCAGCGCTCGTTCAGTGGTGTTCCATCTGGGTTTTTCGTTTTGTCGCGCTGTCTTTCGAATATGAAAAAATAAGCTTATATTTAGTGATCTTGAAAATCAAAGTTATGTTCGAAGGATCATTATTAGGTCAAAAAAAGTTTCATAATTTCAAAGTTTGCAATTCAGCAACGTTTTCAAAGAAGTTATATTGCAACTTCTTTGTTTGCTCCTGCCGTGCCTATAAAGAAGGCAAGACGGACGCATAAGGAAACGCTTAAACTTAAGTACTTCTGCAGTAACTTTGAGAATGCCTTAGGAAATTAGAGCTAGCTAGACATTCATTCTTGACGTCAAAATGCCTGAGATAGTACAACCGACAAGCTTTACTAAATAGAGGCAGCTTTCTCTGTGGTAGAGTAAGGCATTTGCGCATTGTTCGCTAATGAGAGTAACTAACGAACGCCTAATTTGAAGAAGTGGGGCACAAAATTCGCTGTACTTTTTATTGTAGCTTAATCAGAATACCAACTTCCAATGTTAGTGAATAACTACACAACCTATGAGAGTTCTTCTGTATTACTAAAAAAAAGGATGTATCTCTGGGCTTTCTCCACAGAAAAACATCCAATATTTCCTCCTCTGCTTTTGGATTATTTCAAAGGTCACTGTAATATGATGAAGCATGTGTTCCATTCAGTTCACTTTACCTATGAACGTTGATGATGTAGGTCTGTTACAACCACCACTTGGGTAAACCCTTGGAGCCAACTACGGTTCCTGGCATCGAGGAAAGCACAATAGCCTCTGAAGCGAGTGCTATGGACAACAGCGAAGTTACCACGGATCAATCACCAATCCCTGTTTCTTCTCAGGAAAACGAATTGCTGAGCACAGACGCTCCTACAACGGCTGCAATTGGGGAGGACGTCACTGTTAAATCGGAATAACAGCGTACAATCGTTGCTTCATTGTGCCACATATTGGCGACAAAATAAAGCGTGTGTGAACCACGTCCGCCTGACATTGTTTCTATGACGCTTTCTCGATCAGGGACTGATCATATTGGGTGAAAAGATGAAGTGATAGTGTGAGAGAGGTTAGTCTATTGAAATTCTCGAACGGTACACTTTTCGGCGCCTATAGCACAGACAGCTTTACCTTTCAAGAATAAAGTTGCTAAATATATAAAGGACGCTACTACGACAGGTGATTAAAACCTAAGACAGTGTGATAGCCAATGTTTATTAGTAGCTGTAACATAGATAATTTATATTTAAGAAAGAACCCTAATGTGTGCTCCGTAACCGATGCCGGCAATATGCCTCTGAGCTTCATTTTATAGTACAAGCAGTAGGTTAAAGGTTAGCTTTTGATGTCGTGCCCCAAACGAAATGACAACAATTGCGATTGAAACAAAGCATGATAAATTGTTAGATAGAAGCAGGTAGGGAAATCGAAACAGAATCTAGAAAGAAAACCAACTGCCGGCTGCATTTTCTTATCGATGTGAGTGACGTGATTTGTCCCCTTGATTGGCGAATTGAATACTACACCAGGTGACATAAAACAAGCTGTGATGTCTGTTTGATTTTGGCTAAGCACTGGACGGTTGTCTGGGCAACTACAACATTCATGAGCCGAAAAACGACAATCCCACTTTTTTTTTACTTTTTATGGGCGGCCCGTTTGCCACTGACCACTAATTTATTGCTTAGGAACATTATTTCCTTTAAGTATAAGCTGGTGGGGCGTGTTGCCGCTCAGAAACATGTTTCTATTGTCGGCATAAAGTGTGAAGTGTTGGTGACTGGAAATGTTGAATATATCATTATTGTAAACAATAAAAGTAGAAGGACCGAGCAGACTACAATGGGGAACACTGCATTTAATTGACCGCGCAGGCAATCACTGACCATAAACAGCAACTGCTTGACCACATTGAGTTAAATACGACCAAAAAGCATCAAGACAAGGCCTTCGTATACCATACTTAGTGAGCTTATCAATAAAAAGTTCATGTTTTCAAGAAATCAAATGCCTCAGCGAAATGAATGAATATTCCAGGCGTTAATTTTTTCTGGTCCACTATTGCGTAAAATAATCCCTTTTTGTAAAACCTAAGCAGATATGGTTGATTTCGCTTTACGAAAAGCGAACTGAAAACCGACAAATAGCAATTGTTCAGCAGTTGCACTACACCACCTTAATCTTTTAGGCTCACCGATTCAAAACGAGTAACAAAATTTAAAACGGTTTGTTCTTTTATACCAAATAAAACAAAGCACAGCAATAAACGAAGCTACAAATGCGTTCGAAGCCCGCAAGCACGAAGACTATGCGAGTTCATGTAGTACCCATCATTCCCATGATCGCTGAACAATTTCAGCGTCAGAGTACCGTCTACATAACTTTAGGAAACTACACGATAAAGAATAGTTATCGCAAATTTGTTGGGGGTGGCAGGAATGCTGATAGTTATCTAAAAAGAGGAAGGGTGGGGGAGTGTGCGAAGATCACATTGTGAAGTTAGCTACGGTAAAAAAAGCGCTACAGTCGACATATCCTGTCGTGCACCTCGCAACGTCTAGTGTCGTGAAGCGCTTAAAATTACACGTTGTGCGGGTCAGGTCCCAGAGAGCGAAATAAACGAAACACAATTACGAGGGGCGCGAAGAAACGTCCTTTGACAAGCTTACCTTGTAAGCACAACTCAAGTGACTTCGACGGCAACAGGCAACATGCACATTATATGACTGTGTGTGTTTTTACCCGGGTATTGGACACAGGTATTTTACACAGGTATTTTACACGGGTATCTAAAGGTCCCTGGTTCGTTCCCGGGTTTCGGCAACAACAATGTAGCGAAATGACTTGTCGCCCAGACGTGAAAGGGCGACATCCATTCATTGCCAATTCTAGCGGCGAACTGCCCCGACCGCATGCGCATGCCCTGATTCACCCTCTGCTTCCTCTTCTTCGATAGAGTGCAGCACGCTACTAGTTACTCCGTTATTATTTTGCAACAGGCATTATCATTCAAGACATACCAAAAATGGCAAAAAAGAAAAAAGTACGCCAGTCCACAGTAAAAATTACACTTCAATTTACTGCTTGGTCAGGTAAGGACCATGTGTTGTTTTCTATGAAACAGCTGTGAGGAAGGGGTGCATGAAATTTGGACACACGATCAGTCAGTCTTATTCACAGAAGGCTAATGCTTACAGGGCAGAGGGATGAACATGGAGTCACATGCTCTTTTCGTTTCCTATTGTCTTTGTGTTCATGTTCCTAACACCTCAGCCCGTTTTCATCCTTTCTGTATGCTATGTGAAATAGGTGACAACCAATAGAAAAGATTCATGGTGGAAATAAGCGATGTAAATCGACGTTTTTACGAATTGTTATGCCTGCGAGTCCGCAGCGAACGTCCATGCCTCGGAAAAAGGAAATCTGTGTCAAGGCCAGCACGCGAGCCCGCCTGACGTGATGAACAACTCAACGGCGCCTTTCTGCCGTGCACGTGCAGGGAGTCACGTCAGCCAGCGAGCCGGCGCCTTCCTGTCTGGCGAGTCTGACGCAATGCGTGGCGACGTCACTCGTCCTTGGGTGCAGCCACGTGCAACGCAGCGGCTCCAGATTCGATGAGAAAGAATGACGCGGCCCGGCGGCGACCCCATTGGAGGATTCTGACCTCACGACCAGCGGCGCTTCTGGTTGGACATTTGGTCACTCAAAGAATCCACCCAGTGCATATAAAAAAAGCCCTGCGGTGCGTCGCGAGCAGTAGACATGTGTGTCAGAGAAGAGACCTATGTGTTAGAGAGGAGAGCTCGGCTCCTCGGGTCTCTAAGCTGTCGGCCCCAGTGCCGAATTTGTAACGCCTCTGTATATATGCTGTACATAAACCTTCATTAACTCACCGTCGTCTCGTCCGCTCGTCTATCAGCTCTGCGCAGAAGCAGTCGCGAGCTGAGAAACATACGCTACCAAACGGCTGGTGACCTTCCCGGCGGAGTTCGAAGCAGTGGCGCCTTCGGGACCGTGTTGGCGTCGCCGTCTTTCGAAACAGTGGTTGCAGCGGTGAGATTCGTGGCGCCCTTCTTAACGTCGTCGGGGGCGCGCTTCGCAACCGTGGTTGGCAGCTACGGGATCGGCCGGCGTCAGCGGCATCGATGCGGTGAGTGCCTGATGTTTTCCCCTCAGTTCACCAGACTACTCTAGCTCAGGTTGTAGTAGTTTAGAGAAGGGCTGTGTGAAGCATTAGAGTGAGCTTTGATCGTTTCAAGCAAAGTCAGAGTGCTTTGAAACCAAAGTTAATGCGGAGGGGGTAAACACGGGAGTGTTAAAAATTGCTTGCGCGTTTTGCTAGTAGACTTATAGTAGGTACGGCAAGTAAATTCTTAACAGAGACAAACAGCAAGAGGCTAGTGTAAACGATGGAGGACCTTAAAGTGAAGGAACTCATCGAAATTTGTGAGGAACTCTGCATTACTTTGGGCCATGCGAAACGAAAGCAAGCGATCCTTGAGATCATGAGGGATGAAGGAGTGTCGGCTGAGGAAGTCGATGAGGCCTGGGAGGATGTCAAAGCACGCCGCGAGGAGGCTGAAAGGCGGGAAGTAGAAGCTCGCGAACGGGAAGAAGCTGAAATACGAGAACGCCGTGAAGAGACCGAGAGACAGGAGCGCCTTGAGTTGAAACGAATAGAATGGGCAATCCTACAGTGTTCCCAGGCGCCTAGCGTAGCTTCTCCGACGATTCAGGTCAGTGGTTATAGAATTCAGGACCGACTGCCACCGTTCGTAGTAGGCGAGTCGATGCAACCTCAGACACGAAATTCTTCGTGTCTATATGAGCAGTCACTCGAGCGGCCCGTCGCCGAAGCGACTGGCGCGGTTTCCGTAGCAGGGGGAGACGACATGGCGCCATTGAGTCAGAGCGAGATGGGTGCAATGCTCTCGCCTGTAGCGGAAAGTTGGAGTGAGCTGTCGAGGATTGATCGAGAAACGCTCATTCGAGAGCAGCGTGAGGACCTCTCACTATAAGCGCTAATGGAAAGCGTAAACTTAGAAAAAAAAAAGAAAAAGAATGTTTCTTTTTTTGAGAAAACAGGGCTCCTGTATCGGAGCTACACAAATGCGCAAGGTCGCAAGTATGAGCAGCTCTTGGTGCCACGAAAGTATCGTCGCCAACAATTGGAACTGGCGCATGAAAACGCGTGGGCAGGGCATCTCGGCAAAAAAAAAAAAGACCAAGGCTAGAGTCTCCCTTGAGTTTTATCGGCCGAAATTCTGGAAGGATATCGAAGACTTTGTACGCTCATGCGACACTTGTCAGAGAGCGGGGAAATCCGCGGACAAGTGAAAGGCACCCATGAAGCTTTCTGATACCAAATATAGAGTGAAATTAGGAAGGCGGCCGAACAAAATTTACCACAGTAACTTGATGAAACCATACGTTCAATGTCAAGCGGTCGTATATCTGCTGTTGAATGCTTCAGAGGAAGAGGGAGAAGAAATTTTGAGATCTAGTGATGTAATCGAAAGGGGATCGGAGGTAATCTTGGAGCAGTTGAACCTAGAGCCTAGGTTAAGTGAAGTCCAGAAGGAGGACATGAGAAGGATTGTTTCCGAGTTTGGATACGTGTTTTCGGAGCGTCCCGGAAACACGACGGTGATCGAACATGATATCGAGCTAACTTGTGAGGACCCAATCCCTAGCAAGCCGTATCGTTGATCCCCTCTGCAACGTCGCAAGTATGAGCCGCTGTTGGTACCACATAGGTATCGTCGCCTAAAAGTGGCCGGTTACTGAGATGGAGTGTGATACTCCAACAGCGCAACTTTGACGTTCGCTTAAAAAAAAGGAAAGCTAAATGCTAATGCAGACGCATTGAGCCGTGCGTTTAGTTAGTACCTTCTCCACCTTTCGGTTTCTCGCTGGCGATTCGGGGCAAAATTTTGTCCTCATCACGACCTTAGCTGAGCGCTCTCGTTCAGAATGAACTCAAGGAGCCAACTT